CATTCTCCTGCCTCAGCCTCCCAAGTAGCTGGGACTACAGGTGCCCGCCACCTCGCTCGGCTAATTTTTTGTATTTTTAGTAGAGACGGGGGTTTCACCGTGTTAGCCAGGATGGTCTCAATCTCCTGACCTCGTGATCTGCCCGCCTCGGCATCCCAAAGTGCTGGGATTACAGGCCTGAGACACGGCGCCTGGCCCATCCCACCATTCTTATATCCACCCCTTGAACCTCCTTTGCACATCTCTGTCTTGGGCTTAGGAAGATGAATAAAATTGAGCCTCTGTTCAGATGTGATCATAAAACCACAATTCAGTCTTACTGTGTCCCAGCAGGAGCTCGAGGAGGAGGAAGAGGCCGGTGCTGCCTGAGTGATGAGGACGTCTGAACTAGACCCTAAAGAGGGAGGTCCTAGGGAGGGAAAGAAGGAAGGAGGGATGTCTGAGGAAAAGGACAAGTGTTCAAGACAGGAAAACAACAGGCACTTTGGGAGGATGGGAGGAGGAGGGCCACGCCTCCTGGGAGAGGAAGCTGGAGAGAGGCAGAGGCCCAGCCCACCTTGCTTTATCCTGGGAACAGAGGGGAGCCATCCGAGGAAGCTGGGCTGACAGCTGCCGTACAGTGGAGCTAGACGGTGTGTGCTGGATGTGCACTCCTGAGAAGGGGGGCCACCAGCTCAACACGCCACACCTCAGTGGGGTGGGGATGTTCTCTCTCCTGCAGTGAGGGCGTGGGGCTGGGCATGGGGCTGGGCAGGTGGACACTGGACTCGAGCCTGATCTCCTGACCTCCTACGAGGCCCACTGGGAAGGTAGAGCCCATTCGTCCCGACAGGTCCAGCCCCATGCCCATCATCCCTCCTCTGTAGCGCTGAGGAAAGACCACCGCCCACTCCGGTGCCCACATACATGCCCAGCTGTCCTCCTGGCGTGGACTGACTTTCCACTACCTGGAAAAAAATCCCCTCCTTCAAAGCCCAGCTCAGCAGGATTCCTTCTTAGCTCCTCACCACCCGAGGGGAGCCTCCTCTCTGCAGGGACCTCCCAGCCCCTGGCCCAGACTCCTCTCGTGGCAGCCCCAGGGGTGCAATCTATGGGCTGCCAGTGCCCAGGCCCTGCTGCTGTGCTGTGAAGGCTGGGCACCGCCCAAGGGGAAGGGGCTGCAGAGCCCACAACCCCCTTCTGCCTCGGGGCCCCAGGGGCAGGCTGGCAAAGCAAAGACGTGGTGCTAGTCACAGCAGCAGACAGGCAGGCAAGGTGCTACCTTCTGAGGGTGGCTGGAGGGCCTCAGCGTCTGAGTCTGGACAGTGAGTCTGGATGTGTGGTTTAAGGCCCTTCCTGCTCTGGACCCGTAGTGAAGTGGTGCCTGGAAGGGTTTGGCCAGGAGAGAGGAATAGAAGGGAGAGGCCAGAGGTCGCTGACCAGTGACTGTGCTGCCCGTGTGAGGCCGAAATGAGATCTTGGCGTGCAACAGGCACCTGGTGCCGTGTCCGAGGGTGGCTTGGGGTCAAGGGTTCCCTGGGCTCCACCCCACCCCCATTAGCTTCAGGGCAGGACCCTGGGGCCTCAGGGAGCTATCCTCGGGAGGGCAGGAGAACTACACTGCTGCTGCCCCAAACCCCGAGGCACCTGTCGGACTGGAGGGGCCTGGGGGCAGAAGAGTGGGCTGTGCCCCCAGGAGGACAGGGACCTGGGGGAGGAACAGGACGCAGCCCTGGGCCTCTGGCCATGCAGCCCTCCCTTCCTGTTGTCTCAGGATGCCCCCGGCAGGATGCATCTGCCAGAGTTCCAGACCCAGACCTCCCCTGGGGCCTGCTCCCACCCACACCGGGATCCCACGACATTCACACTCATGTGTGTACACACGCTAGCATGTCAGAGATGCACAAACATGCATGCTTGCACATACACACAAAGCCACACACACCACTCAGACATAGGCACACACAGACTCACACACCCAGGCCTACAGGGACGCGCGCACACACACACGCACACACACACGCGCCACCCCACAGGGAGGAGGGTGTGGGGACAGCAGGGCTGAGTCCTGCAGGACAGAAGGCCCAGCCCAGCCAGCCTACAGTCTCTGGCTGAGGGTGGGTTGCAGCCAGATGGGGCCGGTTTATTTGTGTGTCTGAAGATCCCTGTGAGAAGGTCTGGGGGTGTCTGGGGAGGCCTGGGCAGGGAGAGCCCAGAGGAGGCTGGGGCAGCTGGCAGGGTCTGTGAGGGTGCGAGAAGCTGAGGAACCAAAGGACACCTGTGAGGTGACGCCACGTGGCCTGGGAGGGGGAAAGCCACTGGCAGAGAGCAGGCAGGAGGGCCGAGGCCTGCGTGGTGTGGGGAGGACCTGGGATGTGCAGGATCCCCTGGGAAGCAGCAGGTGTGGGTCAGCAGGTGTAGGTCAGCAGTTGAGGAGGGAGGGCCTCGGGCAGCAGCACTGCAGGGGCCGTGATGCCGAGGCGACATGCTCCAGCACCCCTCCCCCTGCTCCTTCATGCCAGCCGCTCCACTCACTGGGGTCAGAGGTTGGGGTTTGGTCCAGGGTGGTGTGTAGGTGAGGATGGCGGCTGTGGGGCAAGGCAGGGTGAGCCTATGGGAGAGGTTCGTGGCTGTCTTGGGGCCTGGGGACTGGTGCTGCTCACGGTGCACATGGTGAGGCCAGGCCACACCGCGCTGGCTGAGAACCTGGGCTGCTTCGGCCCCACAGCGGGTCCGCTCTTGTGATGCAGAATGCCCAACCATGCCCGATCAACGTCGTGTGAACTCACGACCCAGCACCACGCTGACCTTGTCTCCCACCCCAGGCCTGGCGAGTGGCTACTCCATGACCCCCCCAACCTTGAACATCACAGAGGAGTCACACGTCGTCGACACCGGTGACAGCCTGTCCATCTCCTGCAGGTACGGGTTCCCTCTCCTACTGGCAGGCCAGGGAGGCTGGAGAAGCCCAAGGCAGGAGGTGGTGGCTGAGGACCCAGATGGCAGCCCCTCCCAGGGCAGAGTGGCCTCGGGGCTGTGGAGTCTCCCAGGCTGTGAGTGACTTTTGTCCTCCCCAGCCTCAACCATACACCCCCATCAGCATTTCTTTTCTTTTCTTTTCTTTTTTGGAGACAGAGTCTGGCTCTGTCACCCAGGCTGGAGTGCAGTGGCGCAATCTCAGCTCACTGCAAGCTCCACCTCCTGGGTTCACACCATTCTCCTGCCTCAGCCTCTGGAGTAGCTGGGACTACAGGCGCTGCCACCACCCCTGGCTAATTTTTTGTTAGTGGAGACAGGGTTTCACCGTGTTAGCCAGGATGGTCTCAATCTCCTGACCTCATGATCCGCCCACCTAGGTGTCCCAAAGTGCCAGGATTACAGGCATGAGCCACCGTGTCCTTTTTTTTTTTTTTTTTTTTGAGACGGAGTCTCACTCTGTCGCCCAGGCTGGAGAGCAGTGGCGCAATCTCGGCTCACTTGCAAGCTCCGCCTCCCGGGTTCACACCATTCTCCTGCCTCAGCCTCCGGAGTAGCTGGGACTATAGGCACCCGCCACCACGCCCGGCTTATTTATTTATTTATTTATTTATTTATTTATTTGTATTTTTGGTAGAGACGGAGTTTCACTATATTAGCCAGGATGGTCTCGATCTCCTGACCTCGTGATCCGCCCGCCTTGGCCTCCCAAAATGCTGGGACTACAGGCTTAAGCCACTGTGCCTGGCCCCTCATCAGCATTTCATATGGGGCCTCATCTCCCTGCACCCCACTCCTGACATCTCACACTGACCCCAGGCCACTTCCCAGGTCATCTGCACCCACTCCCAGCCACCCTGGGAGCCACCCACTGGGGCCCCAGAGGTGGTGTCTCCCCACCTTCCCAGCTGTGATCCGAGGCCTGTGCTTGTCTGCAGGCCAGTCTGCCACACCAGCCCCAGGAGCCCAGTCGAGGCCCAGGGGCCAGGGAGTGCCCTGCCCCGGGCAGGGTCTATAGTGTGCGCCCAAACCCTGGGCAGTTCCATGCTCCGGGTAAGACAAGCCTGGTGAGGCTTGGCCTGAGGGAGGCTCCTCAGGGATAGTCCCCATGGGCTGCCGCTGGGGCCCACCTGACCACTCCTGTCCTCTGCCAGGGGACAGCACCCCCTGGAGTGGGCCTGGCCAGGAGCCCAGGAGGCACCAGTCACTGGGGACAAGGACAGCGAGGACACGGGGGTGGTGCGAGACTGTGAGGGCACAGATGTCAGGCCCTACTGCAAGGTGTTGCTGCTGCGTGAGGTGCACGCCAACGACACAGGCAGCTACGTCTGCTACTACAAGTACATCAAGGCCCGCATCGAGGGCACCACGGCCGCCAGCTCCTACGTGTTCGTGAGAGGTGAGACTTGGAGGCAGGCCAGGCTGGGGCAGGGTCCCGGGCAGCTGGGGCCCACACCGCCCCCAGCCTGTGGACCCCGGGCTGGCAAGAGGAGAGAACGGGGCCCCACCTGCTCCAGCACCGCCCAGCCCCATGGAGCCCTCCCCCAGCCTGGCCGCCACAGCCCTTCCCCAATACCTTGCTCCCTCTCCACAGACTTCGAGCAGCCCTTCATCAACAAGCCCGACACGCTCCTGGTCAATAGGAAAGATGCCATGTGGGTGCCCTGTCTGGTGTCCGTCCCTGGCCTCAACGTCACGCTGCGCTCGGTACGGTTACACCCCTACCCCCACCCCCACCCCGGGATCCGGCCCCACCCCCACCCCGGGATCCGGCCCTCCAGTCCCACCCCTGGGAAAGGCAGCTGCCCGTCTGGCCAGGAGCAAG